TTTTGGTCCGGTGTGCATCGTGTACCAGTTAGGTGCCCTTTCTTCCTCGACAAAAGTTGACTGGGTCTTTTGTTCTTTCACCAAAGCGTCTTTGTATTCGGTTTTGACTTTGCTTTTACTATCAGGCTCTGAGAGGCTTCCCTTCTCTGTCTGATTTTTTAACTGTACTATCTTCAACTTCTGCTTTAAGATTTCCAATTCATGCTCCTTTTGCATGATTTCCAATTTGAGTTCTTCAACTTGAAGATCCATTCTGGTCCTTTTTGCTTTTGATTTTGCAATTTATTGCTGATCCTTTTCAAGTGTTTGTCTCTCTAATCAAATACCTGCAAATTCCCTTGTTAGACAATCAGTAAGATAATTTTTATCACCTTTTATATATTCAACATCAATTTGATAATGCTTTAGATGTAATTGCCACCTAATCAATCTGCCTTGTTTATAATCTCCTTTAAATTCATTTTTAATAAAATAACTGAAATTTTTATTATCAGTTCTTACTAAAAACTTATTAGAGATAAGATATATTTTGAATTTTTGAATGCCCTGTAAAACTGCGAGCCATTCTTTTTCATTACTATGGTAATTCTTTTCAGCATCCTTAAAAGTTCCTGAAGTATATCTACACAATTTTTCTTCAGAAGAGTCTACTGGTTTTGCTTTTAAAACTGCGCTCCAGTAAGAGTCGGAGGCATCTGTTTCCAAAATCATTTTATCATTTTCTTGAGGGTGATATAACATGGGTAGAATTTTTAGTTTTTTTCTTTATTTTTTCTACATATGTTGTATCACTTGATGACCAAGTAAAAATGACATCCTTTTTTAATTTTGCTTGTAAAGGCTTACGTATCGCTGCCAAATTAGCTATGTAGCCTTCTACATGATTTAAGATTCCAAGAAACCTTTGTAGTTGTTTTTTATTTCCTATTTCTGAAGGGAATTCAGATATTTTTGTCATGATATGCGGTTGCATAGTTAGACTTCCATTTTCAATTTCTAGTCCTAAGAAATTAATCTTAGTTTGAGCAATTTTTGCCTTTTTCTCAGAAAGGATGATTCCTTCTTTAAGACATTGTTCTAGTACTTGTATAACATGTTTATAATGTTCTTGTTCGGTTTTGCTGAAGACAATTATATCATCAACATATACCGTGCAAATTTTACTAAATTCTTTGCTCGGGTCTTTTAAACATAGAGCATTATCAATTCTCCGTTGGAATAATCCAGGAGCTTGTTTTAGTCCGAAAGGAACAACATTCCATTCATATTGTCCATTTGGGCAACTGAATGCTGTTAACTTTCTGCTTTCTTCTTTTAGAGGGACTTGCCAAAATCCACTCTTACAATCGAACGTACTAAACCATTTCATATTTTTAATAAAATGAAATAGTTCTTCTTTCATTGGTAAAAAATACCCATCCATTTCTGTATTATCATTTAATTTTTTATAATTAATAACCATACGTCTTTTTTGTCTTCGTTTTTCAGCTTCATTTTCTACTAGAAAAGCTAGACTACTATGTGGGGATTTACTAGGACGAATTAAATTCATTTTTAGTAATTCTTCAATCTGTATGTTAAACTCTTCTCTATCTCGAGGAGTATAACACATTGGTTTTCTTATAACCTTTAAAGGGTCGATTAATTTTATTTCAGCATGTAAGGATGGGTTTTTTATACTTTTATTAAGCATTTTATCTAGCGGATTTTCACTCGTTATTATATTTAATGCTTTTTGACAATCTTCTAAAGATAACATGTAAAGCATTTGATGTTTGGATATTAAGGTGTCTATTATTTTCTTACATTGCATGGTTCGAATAAAAATTCTTTCTGGATTTTTAGTTTCATTTGTTATTGCAATGTTTTCTTTTTTATATCTATAACCTCACCACGTTTTCGTACTTTGGCGTTATTTGTCATAAATTCTTTAGATGCAAGACTGTAAGCTTTCTTCACAATTGTTATATAAACTGGTACTTCATTCAAGTGTAACAGTATATAATTTAATTCTTGGACAAATGGTCTGTATAATTTTAAGAAGTTATTACCTATTAAAAAGGTCTACTCCCGTATCTTGTTGGTATATAGTAGGAACTGTAAATTTTTCTCCCGCTATTAAAAATGTGACATTATAAGCCACTTTTTCTAAGGTAATTACTTGTTTATTTGCAACTCGTGCAATTATTGTTTGTTTAGCATTTTTCCATTTTTCGATGGGTAATACTAAAGGATGTGCAGCACAAATACTTGCGCCTGTATCTATATATCCATGAAGGTGATATAGTTTATATCCAGTGAATTTAAAACCCACTTTGATATAGGTACTATTAGGGTTAGTTATATTTAACAATCATTCCATTCTTCAGAACTATCATCAGTGCAACTTTCCCATTCAGAGTTTGGTTTGGAATAGAACTGTTTATATTCTATTTCAAATTTTAATTCATATTCTGAATTATTAGACTCATTCTCAGATTGAATTGGTTCAAAGTTGAACTTTTGCATTGCATAAAGCATTTTAACTTTATCTTTACTTTCTTTTCTTTTAGGACATTCATTTGCATAATGACCTTCATCTTGGCATAACCAACATTTACAGTTAGTTTTTCCTTTTGGGCAATATTTTTCTTTTCTTTCAATCCTCTTTCTATATCTGGGTTTGTTCATTTTATAATTTTCTTTTTTGTATTTCCTATATTTAGGAATGTACCTTTTGTATTTTTTAAACTTCTGATTCTTTGATTTTCGAGAATGCCTCTCTTTTCTAGTTCTACATCCCCATTTATTAGGTATCTCTAATAACTGAGGATCACAACATGGTTTGTTTTGATAGTATACAAGAGTTCCTCTTAATTGAGTATCTTTACATCTATCTTCTATGGTTTCTTTAAGAAGATTTACTCTTCCTGCAAATCCTTCTGTAATATGATCAGGTTTATTAGACCACTTTTTGTTCATTTCAAAAGCCCACAATGGTGGTAGTTTATTGAAATATTTTTCAGCATATGCTGGTCTATCTTCTTGTTTTAACAAGTAATACCATTTTTCATATTCACATGTAAAATTTTTCCAATAACAAATATCACATATTTGAATATTGTCAAGTATGAATTTTGCTTTTTTCTGTCTTTCTTCTAACACTATATTTGTGTTATTTAATTCTCTGACTCCTACAAATTCATTAACTAGTAGTTTAGCCAAAGCATTTAGATATTCTATGTTATCTTCTGGTTTTTTCCAAAGAGCATCAAGGCTTGGAACATATGGGTTTGAATCCCACCAGTTTCTAACATTTCCCTTCATATGAAGTTCTAAATATGTTTTTAATGTTCTCAGATCTTCAAATGCTTCTCTATTAGTTTGTATTACTACTAACATATATTTATACCAACCTTTTATTATTTCAACTGGTTTTGTCAAACAATCTAGATTAAGTATGTTATCATTGTGATTATTAGAATTATCTTTAGGAATAAATTCCTTTGGAATATAATTCTTTGATTTATTTTTCTTGTAAGGTTTTGCCTTACTTCTATTCATATTCATCATTCCTGGAATATTTATTTCTGGGAATGTTTTCTCTTCATCGGATACTCCAAAGTTCCTATCTGCATTTGGATTATAGAACTCATCATTTATATATTCTTCAGGAGTCATGAACTCATGAGTGTCTTGATAATTACTTGGTCCTGGAGGAATATCTTTAAGATCTTCTTCGATTTTAACATTTATTCGATCTTTTGGTTCAAGATTTTCGCTTTCTGAACTAGAGTCGTTGTAATTCCCAATGAATTCTTTTAAAGATAATATATTCTGATATTTGTCTATTAGAGACTAAATATCAGTTTCACTTTGAATAGAGTCAGTGTCACTATTCATTTTTCTCCAGGTAGTCTTTTTCTTCCGGTTTTAAATAGATTACTAAGATCCCATTCATTTGGTGGTCTATATGTTGGTATAGACTTCTTTTCTTTTATATTTATTAAAAATTTTTCTATTTCTAATAATTTAGTGTCTGAGTTACTAGAATCAGGCTGTTGTATATTTTGCTCTATTCTTAGAACAACTTCTTTTATTTCACTAACTATCGTTAGTATTTGTTGTACATTTCCTACTTCAGGATTTTTAGCCATTTAATCCTAATTCTTTTTCAATTTGATTTACAAGTAAAATTACTTTACTTAAATTTTTCATTAATGGTTCAATTTGGGGAATTTTCTCGTCTAATTTTATTAAAGTTTCTTCTAACCTATTTACGTTAATTTTGTTAATATTTTCAATAATTTTGTCAGCTTTCGCTGCAATATCAAGAATTTCTGATAGTAAAATATGTAGAAATTCGATATTTCTACTCGTTTTTTCAAGTCTTTCAAGAATTAATTCTTGATTATTTCAGATTTTTTCAATATTCTCCCAAAGAGGAGTATTATTTATTCTACTCATTTTTTAAATATTTGAATTTTAAGCATTTTAGCTTATTTTTTTAATAATTTTTTAGGATTTTTTCTTTAAAAATAGGATTAAGGACATAAATGTCTTTTTCCCTTATTTCTATAGATTTTTGAATTAGTTTTTACAAAATTTTTGATCAGGGATATTTTTACAAATCAATCATCTATTTAACCAAACACCTTTTTAGAACCGCTAACAATATCAGCCGGTCAAAACAGATAATACTAACAGCTGGTCAAAACAGCTATTACAATCCGCTATCTGCTAAAGCTAACCGCTAATTACTAAACAAGGCCTTAAACTTAAATTTGAAATGAGACATGTTTTTACTTGGAGTCTATCTGTCCGATTTAATTGCAAAACACATCAATTAAGAATAGAATTAATGCAGACCAATTTTTTAGCAATAAAATAATAATACAATTAGAAAAATAATAAAAATAGAATGCATTAATAGTTCTTTAATTTTTTTTCCACTAAATTTAGTAAATAAGATAGGCTTATTATATAAGTATAGATGCTCTACCAGTGTAACCCTTGTGGGATTGTGACCTAAATTATTAGATCGGGTTACATTGCCGAGTATGCCCATGGTTTGTTGGCTGGTGGCCTTTCCCAAATCTAGCGAGAGACAGAGAGAAGGCAAAAGTGGCAGGAAAAAAGGGGCGAGCGTGGGCAGCGGTCGTTTACCACCATACAAACACAATCATTTTTATTCTTCACGAGAAAAAGCTCGCCCGATTGATTATTTTTCTTTTTCTCTTTTTGATTTTTGGCTCCCTGCCTATTGTTTACATATATGTGTACTGTTGCATGTGGAATTTTTCCGATTTTGCTACAGAAATAAAACAGAAGGATGAATAGAGCTAAAAAGAAAAGGGTGCAGCGGAGTTGAACCTGAGCTGGCCCTTTCTGGGCGTCAATAGAAACAACAAAAATGTCGGATGGCCTTTGTTTTTTCTCCAAGGTATGCTTTCTTTCACTTGGTTTTATGATCTGGGACACTTGGGGATCTTGTGCATCTATTAGATGCAATCCATGTTTTATCATTTTAGGTTTTCTATATTTACTTTATTTTTTCTCTATTTTTCACTGGTTTTGAAAAAAAAAAAGAAGATATTGTATCCCACATTTAAGCCATTCAATGCTGCAAATTCTATGCAGATCCCAATCTGTTTTCTTCTTATTTTTTTTATTCTTGGGTGCTCCACCAGCTCAATTGAGCTGCCTAATTGTTTCTGAAGGAGTTAAGAACTGTGATTGTATACGGGATTTTAATTCTGGATGATATTGCTATTTGATTGAATTCTAGGAGAACTTTATCATTAAGCCTCCTAAGAAGAATCCTCTGGTGCTGAGAATGCTGGTTTTGATTTTTGTGATGGTTTGCGGAATTTATATATGTTCGGTGTATCTTAAGCAAATTGGGGGAAAGTTGACTGGAAATTCATTGAGAGTTCAAATTGTGGAAAGACCCTGTGAAGCATCTGATATTGAGCCTTCAGAAAAACCTTACTTCCATTTTCCAAAACCAATGACTTTCAGCAGGTAAATGTAATATATGTCACAAGCTACATGTTCTCCGGATAGGATAAATTGCAATTTTGGTCTTATACTTTTGGTTTTAGGGGATTAGAAATAATAATCATGCCCCATTATCTGCAAAAAAAAAATAAAAAATAAAAAAGTGAGGAAGAAAAAACCACAAGGACTTTCACATGGATGATTATCAGTTTTCACGTTGATTTTCATTCAACTTTTCCTATTTTTTGGCAACTGATATATTTTGTTATTATTGTTGATATTATTGACTTCTCTACAAATCTTGATTTTTTGAGAATGTTATTAGTTGTCCCTTTACTGTAGTAGCCACATGATTAATATTACAATCTGAAGCTCGAGTGCTAATTTATCTGCTATTTTACCCTTGATGACTAATCAGGGAAGAATGTACATGCAATCCTGTACGTTATTTTGCAATTTTATCCACTCAGAGATCTGGGAGTGGATGGTTTGAGACATTACTAAACAGTCATATCAACATAAGCTCCAATGGCGAGATATTCTCAGTGAAGGTCCGAAGGAGTAACATCTCGACAATCACAGATACTTTGGATACACTTTATAATTTAGATTTTCGTACGAGTGCCTCGAAAAATGAATGCATCGCTGCTGTTGGGTTGAAATGGATGCTTAACCAGGTGAGAGTTTTTGTTTCTATATTATTAGGGTAAAAAACAAAATGCATGTGCTCTGAAGTACTGATAATTTGCATTATTTTGTTTTAAGGATGGGAAATAGTATTTAGTTTTTCTAAATACAGAGGTTATAAGTCCTTTGGTTCTTAATATCTGGAGACTTGAAATTTCTAACCTTGCAAACATCTGACAATGACTTGACAACTTAAGGGTACACACAGAATTATGATGGCCAATCACATTAATATAATGCATGTGATGGTTTCTACCTTAGAAATAGGGAGAATTTGATCCTGCCCCGGGGCCCACTACTTCCAGGGGTTTTCACCGTTGATTTTCACACAAACACCCACCCACCCACATGTGTGTGTGTGTGTTTCCTTTTCTTTTTACACGTAAAAGACGTTTTGCAGCTTCTTAGGCTTGTTTTTTGGAGTAAAATGTCCAATTTTTATTTTATGTTTTTCATTTATATATTTCAGGGTGGTTGTTTGACTAATATTTGGTAACTAGAGAATTGGAAGTTTACTTTTCCTAGAATCTGACACAGACTTGCCAACTAAAAGGGATGCATACAAAATTCTGGTGGACACTAATGCTGTTTACCCTGTCTAAACCTATCTTTTTGTTTCAAATCGGAAGGCATTATTAGCAATCAACGTGAACTTTGATAGCTGCTTTATTTTTTATCACAAGTTTGCCTTAAACAGTATTTTGCCATTGGAGTATGTATTTGTATAAGTGAGACAGCAGTTGGTCCTTAAAACTCCCGTATTCTTGACTCTACTTCCTCTCTCCAAACCTAAAACTTCCATCGATTTTCAGCGTTCAAACTTCTTTTTCCCACAATAAGACATTTTTCCTGCCCCAAATTAATTGCCCTACATCAGTCTAAACCACCCATTATCTAAAACTATTTCTATCATATTGAACATGGAAGTTTAAGATAGAAAGAGTAGGAAAGTTAATTGAAGCGTGTGGATACTGAGTGTTTGTCACTTAATCCAGTATCCCATGAGCACGTGGCTTGGAATTTTTTCTCTTTGAATGTGACTGTAAAACGAATCCATTTTCTTCAGACATTGGAGTGTGAAATTTATGATCACGTTTTCTAAAATCGATTTGGCTTTGGGGAGCAAACTGATGCTACAAAAAATGGTGATCTGAATATGGGAGACATTTAAGAAACTGATTACTTAGTCCAAAAATCAAACCTTTTGTCATTAAAAATAAATTAATATTTTTCTTATTTACGTTCTGCAATTTTTACAGGGCTTAATGCAACATCACGAAGAAGTTGCTGAATACTTCAAGATGAAAGGTGTTTCGGCAATTTTCCTTTTCCGCAGAAATCTTTTGCGCCGGACGGTTTCAATACTCGCAAATTCATACGACCAGAAAGCTAAGCCACTTAATGGGACCCACAAATCTCATGTGCACTCGACCCACGAGGTCTCTCTCTCTCTCTCTCTTTCTCTCTCTCTCTCTCTCTCTCTCTCTCTCCATCCTCATGCTATTGCTAAAGTTTTTAGCTGTTTAGGCGGAGATACTTGCGAGATACAAACCAACTATAAATACATCACTGCTTATACCAGACTTGAGGCAAGTAGAAGATCTCATGAGCAAATCCTTGCAGTATTTCAACAGCACTCGGCATATCATCCTCTACTATGAGGACATAATAAACAACCGTACGGTAGGGGCATTTAGACTCTCTTTTTTCATAACGCCAGAAAATTCGAGCGTGTTTAAATGACCTTTTGGTTCTTTCTGATTCTATTGGAGAGTAGAGTAAAAAAAATGTCTGGTAAAAGGTAAACGAGTTTTTATGATGATTGTATATATGATTAAGAATTTACATCAACTTACTTTTAGTAAACTTAGTGTTTGGTGCTTGGAAGAAAAATAGAGAAGAATGTATAGTGCATTTTTATTAATTAAACGTCTATCACGTAAAACTATTTAGAATATGAGTGTGTCCTTAAAGATTCCCCTGTGAGTGAAAAGTCCGAAAGTTTTTAAAAAATGTTTAACATGCAATCACAGCATTGAATTCCATTTTCTGAGCTTTTTATTTATTTATTTATATGTTAAAAGTAGAACTTGTACTCTCTCTAGAAACTGGTGGATGTTGAAGACTTTTTGAAGGTCCCTCGAAGTGAACTAAAGACGCGTCAAGTGAAAATACATAAAGGACCCTTGTCTTCACAGGTTGAAAATTGGGATGAAATCAAGAAGACATTGAGTGGAACTCCTTACGAGAGCTTTTTACAGGAAGATTACAAGATTTAACTGTTGTGCAGGCCGTTTTTGTATAGCATGCTCTTTGTAGACTTAACTTATTCGTTGATTCTTTTGCTGAGAAACTCACATGATATATAATGTCCTGTTGAAAATTTTGGCCTTCTCTTTAAGCCACCCATCGGACATTGGAAAAGTGGTGCAGTAGAATTAATTTTGTGCACCTTTTAGTTGACAAACAAAAATGTTGTTTAAGGATACTTGTAATTTTTAGGGATAGATGTTTTCTTTCATTTATTTACACTAATGAGTTATTTAGGAGTAGTTTTTATGGAAAAAGCTTTGCATTTGAACTGTGGCAATTTTTACAAATATTTCTTGTTATACACTGCTGGTGTTATAGGGAGCATCTGACTGTAAATTCCATTTTAATATGGATTATTTTGTGCGCTTTTGGTCAAATTAGGTTGTCCTATTTTTCTTTGAGCAAAATAGCAACTTTTCTTGTATGAAGCAGGTCAAGGAGTAGTTAAAGTCAAACCTAAAAGCTAAAAGTAAAAACTCAAATAATTGTAGTGTTTTAGATGGCGAATGACAAAACGGTTGAATGTTTCTTTGGCCGACAAAGTGTACTTTTCCCTTTTAAGTCTTCAGTGTTGCACCTATATGTTCGTCAAAATAAGTTTATACGTCTATACCGTTAGTAGTGTCGTTGACTAATGTTATCAGTAGTTTGAAAGGGTCAATGTTTGCTTTAGTTAGAAATTGTCCAGTTGAATTTGAATGCAATAATGAAATTTGATTGCAAGTGATTATGACGAACGAAACATCATGAATATTAGCTATTCCTTTCTTAAATGATGAAAGATTTTGAATAAAGTAATATTATTTGATTTTTAAGGGACTGAGACACACTAACATTAACCTTTTCATTCTGATATGGTTCGAGATGAATGAATCCGGTCTTTCAAAGGGTTCTTCGCGATTGCGGCGTAAATGTATTTAACTTGGTCCGGTCCAAGCTTGAATGTTCGCCGGTACATGCAAATACGCCGGAATTTCTCCGGTGCAAGACCCTCCGACGCCCAAGTCAATATTTCGGAATAGGAGAATAATGCTAATCAATGTAGTAGTGATTGTAATAAATGATGTATTTCCTTCCAACCATGGAATTTACCCTTTATATAGTGATTGATTGTATGGTCTTTCCCTCGGAACCCTAGGTTCTCAAGTAACCATTGACCAAACATAACTTGTTCGGGGCATGAGGGTCGATACCTCACACTCGGTCGATCTATCGACCTACTAACTCACGGGTCGAGACTTGTTCCTTTGGATCGCACGTCTTTTGGTCTAGCCTAAATTGACCAAGATAGGGGTCGAGGATCGACCCATCGGCGTGGTCCTCTGGTCGAGCCTACATCGGTCAAGGCTGAGGGCGGGGATCGACCTTCCAGTGTGGTCGGGGCTCGGGCCGGTCGAGACTTGGGTCCTTCTTGGGCCGATTTAACCATGTGGGCCGAATCAATACCAATATCCCTATCAACTACTTCTCCGTGTTTACGAGCATACGAAATGAAATTTGTGTGACCGTAAATATCCATGTTCGCTTGCCCCGCTATCGCCATGAAATTGCTCGATAAGTTCTTGACCCGTATAATGCTATGCTCGGCCCTCCCCTTTGGCCAAATAGCTTTGGTTTGACCTTTGAATATCTTTTGACCAAGACTTTCCTCCTTTTTGTCTTATCAATGTTTTATCTCAATTTCCAAGGTGAGATTTCCATTACAAGTTTCATCCTACCTTATACTATGTCTCCTTTTTTACCCAAGGTTAATATCCCCTTATTATTTTGAATTTCAAATTTCACTATCTCCTACAAATACTCCTCCTCTCCCATTGCCAAGGATTTTCTACCTTCCTTAACTTCTTTCTTGGAGATCTCTCATGCCGGTGTGACCTACTCGACTCTTTCCACGTCAACTTGCTCGCGCCACTCCTTCACCCACCGGACCGCTCGCCTATCCCTCGACCCGGCGGGTTACTCGTGGATTCCTCGACCCGGTGACTTGTTTGCGTAGCCTTCTACCCGGCGGACCACTCGCGACTTCTTCTTCACGGCGACGACTCCTTGATATCGAGCTTGAGCTACCTCCGATTATGGGTACGTATCTTTGGCCCTTCTCAATTTAATTAAAAACTTCTCGTGTCTTAGCCGCCTTTGGAGTATCGTAGCTTTCTCATCTCCGCTTCTTTGGCTTGATTTCTGGTTTCAAGCCGCGGTTTTAGTGAGAGGGTCCTTATGTAGTTCCCCTTTCGTGCCCTTGTGTAGATATACCTCCTGATTCTTCTCCTAAGGCCGGTACCTTTCATTTAGCCGATGAGGACGAGGGTGTGTTCACGTGGGATGAACTCCAACGGTTTGGAGATTCATTTCACGTTGTCGCTTTCGATCTCGCGGATGTCCCCTCCTTTACCGACATGCCCGACTCGATTTCGGGTCAAGAGACTCTCTTGACCAGCTCGGGGAAACCTGCCTCTCCTTCGCGTGGCTCGGGGAGTCGTACCTCTCCTTCGGCCCACTCGAGTGGTCATGCTACCCACTCGATTGGTTTGGGTAGCCATGCCTCCGCTTCGGCCGACTCGGGTGAGTTTGTTGACCCCGAGAGTGTACCTAGTGTCTTTTTCCGTATGTCATCTAGCGACATCGCGGAATTCAAGGAGCTTTGAGAGTTGCCTACCGGTTGGAAGTTTGTGAAACCGGCTCCTTCGGATACGTATGATCAACCGCCTTCCGGATGTTACACATTCTTTAAGGACCAAGTTGGTGTTGGCCTTCGATTCTCCGGTCTTGAGCCTCTTTTGCGTCTATGCCGGGTGTTTAATTTTCCTCTGAACCAACTTTCCCCTAATGCCATCTGGACCATGATCGCGTTTGCTATTTTGTGCCATCACCGGTTGGGGCGATTGGATCCCGACTTTTACTTCTATTGCTACGATCTGAGGTTTCAGCAGTCGGGTAGAACGGGACGCCATTATACGCTTTCTCGTGACGGGGCCGATTTTATTTTGAAACTTCCTTCTAATATCTCCTTATGGAAGACGAGGTTCTTTTTCGTTCGGCCTCCCACCGAAGCCTTCTACTTTGAGCCAAAGTGGCTACATAAGCGGTTTTCCCCTCCATATAGACCTAAGAAAAATTCCCCCTGGCGGTCCGTTGTCCGGGATTGGAATAAAGAGCCCATCGCCACAGTGCCCCTTACTTCCTTGATTGCCCTTCGCCATTATGCCGGCTTGACCATCGAAAAGCCATCCCCTTCCGACAACATAGGTATCGACCGTATATCCCTTCTACTTGTGCCCATGTTGCTATTTGTTATCTTTCTTGTGTGTACATTGGTGCAAGTCACATGGGTCGATCGCGCCATTTGAAAAACTTATCATCTTAGACGAAGGTGATTAATATCGTAGAAGCAAGAGGTGGTCTAAAAAGTGGTCGGCCACGCTTTACAGTTCGGCCCCGTCATATGGGTCGATTGTGTTAGCGACGAGGGTCGACCGGTTTGATCTTGGATCGACCACGAAGTGGTCACGTCGACCACGTTGACCGTGCATCGGTCCACTTGACCGCGTGAGCCATGGGTCGACCGCGTCGACCATGGATCGATCTAGTCGGCCGCGTGAGCCATGGGTCGACCGCATCGACCATGGGTCGATCGAGTCCACCGCGTGAGCCATGGGTCGACCGTGTCAACCATGGGTCGATCCTTCGACCGCGTAGACCATGGGTCGATCGAGTCGACCACGTGAGCCATGGGTCGACCGTGTCAACCATGGGTCGACCGTGCTAGTGTGGGTCGGCCATGAGCCGGTCGTTTTTCTACTGTGTTGACCATGGTTTTGGATCGATTGCGATGTGACTGTGTCGACTACAGGTCGACCGTGTCGACCACACCAGCAGTGTCGATCGTCGACTGTGCCGACCACACCGGCCGTGTTTGGTCAACCGCTGGTCGACCATGCCCCCCATGAGCCATTTCTATTATTGCTATTATGTCGGTGATATATGCTTGTATTGACCCATTTATACTTGTTGTTTTCAGATGATATCATCAAGCAAAGCGTGACGCAGAAGAAACAAGAGAGGTCCAAGAAAGCGCGCGACGATGGGCCCTCCAACCGAGATCGAGCGGATCGACCCTCGGTGTACCCGGAGTCAGAGCCAGTCCATCTCTCATAGGGCTGGGTCTCAGTCGACCCATCCCGCGGCCAGCCTTCTGTTGCGGGCCGACGCGCATACTACCTCCGGGCGTACTGCTTCGACCCCCGACCGTTCGAGCCGTCAGGTGGTTAGCTCCGTCCCCTCTCCGAGCGTCAGACGATCTGGTCCGACTCACCCTAACCCCAACCGTGAAGGGGTCGATTCCCGTAAGCGTGCTCGACCCTCCGACCTTGCTAATAGCGTGGCTGCTCCTTCCGACTTTGGGAAAGACGCCGACCCCGCCATTCTTGCCAAGTATATCTGCTCAGTTATGCCTGCTTTCGAGAATCGGCGTTTTGAGAGTAGACCCCGAGACTGGGCCCGTACGGCAGTTCATCGATTTGCCCAGGTGCGACTGCTATTTTTTAGGTCTACCAAGATTTTTGATTTGACCGATGACATCGATGACGATATTCTTTTCTTGTGCCTGTAGTTTCTTGGTGCTGCGAGCTCTTTTCTCCTTGACGAGGTGGATGGGCGGGCTGGTGCCGACCCAAGGGAAGTCGACCAGCCGAAGAAAAAACAGCTTGGGAAGGCGCGGTCCGCTGGTGACACCCTTAAGAGTCAGCTGGCCGATGCCCTTGAGGGTAAGGCGACTGCGGAGCGGAAGTGTGCCGCCCTTGAGAGGACGATGACTGAGCGCAAGAAGGATCTCAACAAGAAGAATCAAAAGCTCAAGAAGGAGTTGGCCGATCTATCCAGGCAAATGGAGGAGGCCAATGCTCGTCATGCTGCCTCTGCTGAATCCTTTTGCGAAGAGGGATTTAGGGGGTTCTTATGCTCTGATGGGGGTCGCCGTCTACTGATTGTATATCGGGATGAGCTGCTTAGCCTGTATCGTAATTCCGTTCCCTTTCTCCAAATACTTGTTCCGGCGACGAGGTAGTACTTGGCCCTCGCCATCGAGCGCACCCAGCAGCAGGCCACCAACCAGGGTTTCAAGGGGGCTTTTGATAAGGAGGCCCTGGAGAGTGACTTACCTTACCCACCGAGGGTTTAAAGGCAAAGGAAAACTGCCTTATGACCACCCTTGGTGGGAACCGGCCCTTGACACCGCGGTGAGGGCCGCAGGGCTAGAGGGCCAGGTGGACTTGTCTGATTCTTTTCCGCCCCCTCTTTCACTGCCTCCTCTTACTCCGACCCCCTC